AAGTTTGGGTTAGGCTCACAAATTAAAGCTGTTACTTCTGGTTCCTGCCAGTTGACTATTGTGGAAACTAAGTCATTGGTGTTTGGAGTGGAAAGCAAATAAGTTTTAAGTTATCAGTTATTATATAAAACAAGTACTTTTACACTCTTTAGGGACTACAAAGTGGCTGATTTCTGACTAGCAGAGCTCTCAGTTGAATAAACTGAATAAGTTCATTGTGGTGGTGTGCTCGTGGAGATAAAAAATTGCCCAAAGGGAAATAAATTAATAATGTTTTACATAAGGGAGGAAACAACGGTAGAAATTAGGTCCTGGTTTGAGGCAGCTCAAGAGATGTCATCCTAAGTTGTTATGGAAGGGGAGAAAGCTGTAAAATAAAACTACATGTTTTTTCTTTCCTAAGAGTCATGACTTCTTGGAAGAGATAAATTTTGAAGTTGTGGGATAGTTTTCATTTGTTTGGTTTTGGCGTTTTGTATGTTGATTGCTTTCCAACTGGTTTTGGAACCTGAAGTTGTTAGAATAGACCTAAAACGCGTGTTTGGACTACCAAAGAATATTTGGCAAGGCTTAAAGGTCGATGGAACAGTTTAAAATGCCATAAAAGGGGCTAAGTAGAGCAGGTCTGATTGGCTAAAAACTTCTTTTTAAAGTGCCTGAAAACCGTCAAAAAATTGCATTTAAGGACATCTTGGACATGCCTGTAAGCCTCTCCAAAGCCTGAAAAATTAACTCATTCTACTTTAGGCTCTCACATTCCAAACTGTTCATGTAAATCACAAATGCAAATCTAATGAGTTCAGCTGTAATTTCTCCCCTCATTTGACTAAATTTCTAATCCAGACAATTTACTTTCTCACACATTTCCCAACGTAACTAGAAATTTTTTCCCCAGTCCTTTGGATGTTGGAAGTTTGTTCTTTCCTAAACAGACTGGAGGTGTGTGTGCAGTAAATTAACACAATTTGGTCACTCTTTGGACTGTGGTTTAGTGTGTCCCCTTGTCTCATTTTGAATGGGTAGGTAGGGTGCGTTCTTGGATTTTTGTGGTTCATGTTACATGTAGTTTAAAGACAATCTACCTTTTACCTAAATTTGTCTGCAGGATTTTTGTGTCAAAGTTGGTTTAAATCAAAATGTGTCTACAGTTGACTTCCCTGATCTGACCAAACCCATGCAAAAGTATATTTTTCATCTCTAATTCAAGTTTCTTCTAGTAATTTCCAAAAATTACATGCATTTCTTTGCAAAGGGGTTGACTTAACACCTTTGCCAAAAGAGGCACTCAGCAGTTATGTCACAATTAGGAAGCGTGAGAACTTAGTACAAGTTGGTAGCAAAGTAATACTGGGGATAATATATCTTTGAGGCCCAATTATGGTCACAGTGTTTAGGGTATGTGGGGTTTATATTTTTAGTCTTGTACTGGCTTCATGTTGTCTTTTTAGGGATTGTAATTTCTTGAGTCTATGAATTGACTACCTAGAGAATCCAGAAACTAAGGAAACGGTATTATATAGGCCAGATGGTTTTAATTTCTGTCCATTTATCAAGATTATAATAAAAGCAGTTTAAGAAAATAACAGAATTTTGGCTACTTTTGTAGAAGTAACATGTTTGTAAGGTATAGGCACATTATTTTTAATCTTAATTTTCTGTAGAGATGGGTAGCGTCTGGATACCGTCCCATCAAACTGCTTTTCAGATTCTGTTGCTACTCTCAATCTTGGATTCTTTTTGTTCTTTGTTTTTAGTCCTTAAGTCCAAATTCTAATTTTCAAAATTGAAATATCTCAATCTCTTTCTCGAGAATTATAGCCATTGCACCAAATTTCTTTAATAAAAGATTCATTTAATGCCTAGTGGGAGGAAATAGTTTTCATTGTTTTGTTTCACTGTGAGTGGTTAGGTATGAGTCTTGAAACCAGGTTAATTAAGAATGCTTTAATGTGGATATTGTCTGCATTTTTAAACTGAAATTCCAAGTGATTATAAGGTAAGTACTACTGGTTTTGTCAAAGATTGAAGAGGAATTCAGATGATGAGAGATGTGTTAATGGAATTCACTTTCTACAGCTTTTTATCCTCTTCTTTATCTCTAATAAAACCCCACACCTAAGTGATGAATACCAATAGACTTCACGTTTTTGCCCAAGAGGACAGAGTTACAATTGAGTGTATCTTTAAGCCTTATTGTGTTTTGTGTTGATCAGTTTTTACACACGAATTGTATTGTTTTCTCAGAGGGTATAGTGATGGGATGATGGATGTGTAGGAAATTTAACTGCTTTATACTCAGTTTGGGGGGTGTGGGTCACATTGAGTTAGGTATTGTCAGTCTCTTTTTTAAGCTGCAAGCCAAAAGAGTTCTTCACTACAGCAAATTCGAGTCTTCAAGTTCCCCAAAACCTTTGTTTTGAATTGGGTTTTGGAGGGGGTTTTTTAGATTAACTTTTATCATCATAGGTAATCTAATATAACAGCATGGAATAAGGCCCTCTTTTTTTTGCATTGATTTTTGTGCTTAGATATTAGATTTAAAAGGTAGTTTTCTGAAAGTCAAAAAGCATACTTAAACTTGCTTTTGCTGGAAAGTACTAAATGTTTTATTGTAAATTTAGCGTGTACTGTTTTTGCAGGAAATTTCTCAAAGGCATGGGCTTATTAGGCATGTCAGTCAGGATTTTTCTGCCCATCCAGCCTTTGTGGAGTGGCTACGGAGAAACAAAATAGTCCTTACAGTGATGAGTATTGACCTGTATGGCAGGAATTTTTTTTTTTGCCCCCTTCCAATTTTTAAAATATTAATTCCCTTGCAGTCTATGTAATGAGTTTGCACATTTTTAATGTTACATGAATTCCATTTGTAGCCCTTAGAATCATTTTGACAGAAACTATTGGTGACGGGCAAGTTTCTGCTTATTTCTAAATAGGCGCTCTTAACCAAGTAACGTTAGTAGCCTAATAGTTGGTCTTCTGGTTTTGTAAAGTGGCCACTTAGCTGAGTTGAGTTGAAATAAACCTAGTACTGTATTCAAATATGAAAGGAAGAAGGTTGGAAAAAGGGATAATGAAATAACACCAGGAAGGTGTCCATATTGAAAAGTTGTATGTAGATCTTTGGCCTCCATTCCTGTATCTTCCACATCTAAGCCCTGTATCTGTACATAATCTGTAGGAGGCCCTCAGGAAACCTGCTTGGGCATTCTGATTCCACGATTACATTTGTGCTGCCAGCAAACATTTCCCATTACATTTTAGTGATGGATATTAAAAGAAAATCTATTTCCCTTAAGCTATTAAATTTGGGGGGGGGTAAATAAAAAATGATTTTTTAAAAACTATAGTGAAAAAAGACATTACAGCACTTCCCCATGATAGCCATGGTTGTCTTTATGCCCCCATAGGTATAAAGACTTAATCCATTTTTTTTTAATGACAGAAAATAATAATTAGGAGAGGACATTGTTGACAGCGAAATGAAAGCTCAAGGTGAAATTCAGGAAAACTAGGATGTTTTATGAGGGCAGAATTTTGCTTAGGGTGCTCAGCAGATACTTTTATGCTTAATTGACGTTAAGTCTTTTTAGTAATTTCAG